ATAGAAAACGTCATTATGATTTTTCTCGGAATTTACATATATATTCCCTTCTATACTTTCTCGTGTTAAGGTACTGCTACGGAAGATGAGAAAGTCAATCTTTCTCACTTTACGCTGATACGTGTTCTAGGCACAGGTGGTAAGTATAATCACATTTCCTCAACTTTCTTTTGATTGTTAATACAAAAAAAAATTTACATGATCACGATCATTCTGACAGCTTACGGGAAAGTGTTTCTAGTACGTAAAAATGGTGGGGATGACGATGAGAAATTGTACGCCATGAAGGTCTTGAAGAAAGACAGAGTTGCTCAAAGGAAAAAAACAGCAGAGCATACGACAACCGAACGTCACGTAAGTAAATTTGAGCTTCCGATAAGTATGTAGCCGTACAATAACACTTTTTCTCTCGGACCATGCAATTGCAATGAACATTCGTATAAATGTACATATTGTATTTGACCGGTTTTTATTATACTCTACATTTCTCATAGTGCAAGGATATATAAAGTTTATGCGGATGTATGCAACATCCAGAAGGACTTGAAAGACCCACCTTTTGTTACGCCGATCGATTCAGAATCACTCTCGTAATATATCTAAGCGTTTCTACCTCTCTATCCATCTTATTTTCTTGTGGTCAGTTGCAGACTGAAATTTTTTAAATATCCTAATGAGATTTGGTACACTGATGCGCTCTGGCCCAAGGAATAAGGCTTGGGCCGGACCACTTTTTCGACCACTACTTATTTACCACATTTTATTCTGACAAGTCGTTCTGGTGAGAAGGTGAAAATGTAAGTTGAAATTGCCTCCCCTAAAACAATAAGGGACAAACGATGTGCTTGAAATTTTGCATTGATTTGGGCATATAAAAGTAAAATATATGGACCTATATAGAGATAAGTATTCGATAGCAGTGAATATAAGAAAGAAAAGGTGTGAAAAACGTGGCTTACCACAATCAGTGGGCCTTTGCGAAATTTCTAAAAAATGTTGCATCACTCCTTATAAATTCTAAGGGCGTTGCTCACAATACGCATAAAATTTCTTTTAAAAATTGTGTAAGGTCGTCAGGTAGATTATTGTGGGCGGATCACGCTATGATAAAGACTTCATAATAAACTAAACTCACCAGTCCAAAGATTTTCTCTTTGATTTTTGTTTTGCTTTGACTTCTTCGCGGCAAAAGGTTAAGTACAATAGCTAATAGTTTCAGAAAGAGAGAGAAATTATTAAAATTTGATGTATGTTCATATTAAATTAATATTTATGCGCGGCTACAGCCGAGGAGGAACGATTGTTACACGCCAACAGTGAATCAAATTTCCTCCACGTACTTATGTTCATAGTTCTAGGTGAAGCGTATTTAAAGTGTAGATATGTGCGTCAATCGTACTTGAAAAAAGCGGTATAACCGAATATAAAAAACACAAACCTCCTGACCGGTTTTACTTTACCTACATTTGGTTGTGTGTTGTGTTTGTATTTGTATTGTGCATCCCGTTTATTGGGTACATTTCGCTTGCAAAGAAGTAATAAATAAGTCATGTAGCGTATAAAAAATCTCACCAAAACTTGCTAAAAACGTAAAAAAAGCAACGTGGTACCGATATTCAGGTGAAAGATAGTGGGATATAGTAGAGTGATATTAAACTTGTGTAGCAGGGACATATATAGGAAAAGAAGCTCATCTTTGACTTAAATCGTGACGTTTTGCATGCGATCAAGTTTTTGTATTCTCAGTGCTGATCAATATTTTTGTATTCTCGCTCTCACAATCGCAAAAGTTGTGATGGGGAATTACAGTTTTTTACAATTAGCTCCGCAACACATATTCAAAGAGATATGCATTGTCAACGGCATATATCTTTCCAAAAATTAATATCCTTGGCTCTGCTTGCTCTCGAATCATATAAACCTTCGAAATGTATTTGTAGAAGAGTATCTCACCTACCTCAAGGAACAGTCCTTGAGTTCAGGTGAAAGATTTCAATAAAAAGAGAGAGATAGATCCTATTTTCGTACCCTAGCTTGAAGGAGTAGATATTCACGATGACTTATCATACAGCAAATATAGTTTTCCACTGGCTTAAATGGTTTTAATTCTAGTTAAAAATAAATATTGTCAGCAGTTCGAAGAGGAATTCTGAAACAACGCCGCAACGACAGATGTTCCCGCTCTAAAAGTCGAACTTACTTAAATATTGTTCCTTCTTTTTCCTTGCTGTAGCTGCAACACCATCCGACCACTACGGAAGGTCGGTCATATTTGCTTTCGACAAATCATACCATCTTGTTTAGCATTAAATCGATTTAACATAGCGTTCTCCTGCGATTGTCCTTTTAAGTGACCTTTCCTGATCATAACTTGGCAATATGAAAAAGTTAAAAGAAAACGGTTAACTTTTCTTTCGAAAGGAAAGTTATCGTGTTCAGTTTACTTGGAGCAGGCCTGTGGATGAAAGGCCGTTGTTTTGTATTGTAATATACGTTTATTTTGATAGTGGCCACAATCTGTCCTGGTGATTCTTTTGAATAGTTTTTGTTCGCTTGCTTGTCGTTTATAAAGTGAAGTTATTTCTTAAGATTTTTAAATATCTATTAAATGTTTTTTGCATGGAAGATTTCTTTTGCATAGAATATTAGCTAAGCTGTGATCACTTTTTGGATAAGAAATTTGTATATTTGTGTCGGTGGTATCGAATACAAAATCAGGTTAAATTTACTTCAAAATTGTTCTACTAACTACTATTTCAGTTCAAAATAGCACTTCATACGTCCAAAGTTTTCAAATTTTAGACGGGCTTTGGAGTTATGTCTCTTAAATAAACCTTAAGGTGTTAAAAGAACTTTAATTGAAAGTTTTTTTGTTTTCCTCGTAAAATAGGTGCTCGAAGCTATACAACAAAGTCCGTTCCTCGTAAGCTTACATTATGCTTTTCAAACGGAATCGAAACTCTATTTAGTTTTAGGTAAGTGTTTAATATTTTTCTTATTTAAAATTAATTCAAAATTAAATTCTATTTAAAGATTACGTTAGTGGTGGTGACTTATTTACACATCTTCATAAAGCGGGACATTTCTCGGAAGCAACTGTTAAAATTTATATAGCCGAAGTGGTTTTGGCTCTGGAGCACCTGCACAAGCTGGACATAATCTATCGAGACGTAAAGTTAGAAAACATTTTGCTGGATGATCAGGGGCACATTGTGTTAGCAGATTTTGGATTATCGAAGATATTTTCGTCAGAGTCTGATCATAGGGCGCACAGTTTTTGCGGTACTCTGGAATATTTGGCTCCGGAAATATTACGACCTGGCCCTGGTAGCCACGATCTTGCTGTGGATTGGTGGTCAGTTGGAGTGCTTACTTACGAATTATTAACTGGGGCTTCGCCGTTTACTGTAGTTGGACAACAGAATTCTGAAAGTGATATATTACGACGAATTCAAAATGTGGATCCTGTACTTCCACCTACATTGGGTGAAACCGTAAAAGATTTTTTACTCAAGATGTTACACAAGGATCCCAAGAAGCGATTGGGTGGTAATAAAAAAAGTGCCGAGGATATCAAAAATCATCCATTCTTTCGTGGCATTAATTGGAATGAATTGAAAAGCAAAAGGCGAAAGGCACCTTTTAAGCCAACATTAAATGGGGATGAGGATACACAGAATTTCAGCGAAGAATTTACAAAGCAGCCTGTTATTGATTCGCCGGCTCCAGTTCCTGTCAACACACATCGTTTATTTAGAAGTTATTCATATGTAGCGCCTCAACATTTACGCAGAAGATTATCTACCAAAAACGTTGCCGCATTTCAGGTTGAATATCTTAATGAACCGGTTACGGTAAGCGTGTCTACGCAAAGCAACTGTTACGACATTTTCCTTTCAATATCGAATTTAATTTCTTTCTAGGATCCTCCTTCAGTACCAGAAACGCTTCTTCTTAAAAGACTAATTAACGCTGGATCATTTGGAAAGTGCTACACAACTATTTATAATAATCAGACCTATGTTGTCAAAGTCATCCCGGAAGCAAAATATCGGCCCTCTGAAGTAGACGCCTTAATTTCATGCGGCCAAGACGGCCACAAGTCAATCGCTCAATATGTGGCTACATATCGCAAAGGTTCTGATATTTGGATTGTACAAGAATATGTTCCAGGCTACGAAGTAGCAGAGCGAATTGCAAATCACGAGTACAGTTTTGATGAATTAAAGTGCTGTAATATATTTAAGCAATTAATCGATGCTGTGAAGCATATACACGAAAAGCGTTATATACATGGGGACCTGAAAATGGAGAATATTATTTTTGCTGACGACGGCATGGATCAAATAAAACTTGTTGATTTTGGTGCTGCTAGGTAAGTGTAGCGCAAACTTGATTCCTTTTGCTTAATATAAAATATTTACTACATATTTTTCATCACATTCTCAGTTATAATAGTAAAAGGAATAAATGGAACGACGTGCCTCGCTATACAATTGATTATGCACCGCCCGAAGCTTTGCAGCATCCTGAATATGCAACTTATTCGGCATCGTTTGACATTTGGTGCTTAGGAGCCACGTTGTATTCAATTTTTATGGGGCACACGCCGTTCCGTCATGGACGTGCCGATCGGCATGTGAACATGATGACGCTAAAACAGCGTATTCTTGATGATGAAATTTTCACCCACGCTCATCGGTGGGAACAGGCTAGTTTGGAATTAAGAAATCTTATCTTAAGGTGCCTACAGAAGGATATCGCAAAGAGGCCGACCCTGAAGCAAATTTTACAACACCCATGGTTGCAAAGTAAAACAAAACTGGCGACATCCAATCCTTTGTTACGCAGCAAGCATAAGTCTAGCGGGCAATTGGCAGTTAATACTAAACCCCTTAGCGTCAACCAATCTCGCCGTGTTGAAACTACCCAGTGCAGATATAATGATCCAGAATATACCGCCCTTGAAGATTTTTGCGGATTTGATGAAAATATAGCTCCTCTTATAATTCCGCCGATCGATTCAACCAAAGATATGAAGCTGAAGAATTTTAAGCCCATGGCAGCAAAAAAAATGGTTGAGAACAACTCTAAAGTTCCTGCTCCTTTGAAACCAAGCAGTAGGATCACTCAAATTGTGCTAGATAAGCCAATCAATCAAGCCAAAACAATGCACAAAGAATCTTCGATTGGTAAAAAAGATGAACAAAAGAAAACAAATTCTAGTGCAATTGATGACGGAATATTCAAGATGCCGACAATGATTAGGGGCAGAAATTTGTCGCGAAAGCCTTTTAAAAATGATGTGAAAAGGAGCATTAGCAATGTGATCGGGAAGCGCATACCCGCGGATATTAGCGATGACTTTCTTGGTTTTCAAGAGTCAAAAAGCCGACGTCAAAAAGCAAACGTTCGAAATCTCCACTTGCATTAGTGGAACTTTCTTCTTCGCTGTCAGCCGTATTTGTTCGTTTTGAGGCCCTTTGAACGTTGCCCCATGAGAGATCATTGCGACTGTAGTTATTT